TAAATTTTGAAATAACAGCGGACATACTTGACACCACGGGTGGGCCTCTATTGTAGGTGAAAAGTTTGAAAAGTGGGGTATATTTAATATGTAGTAACAAAGTAATTTAATTTAGTTTACATGAATACGCAACGATAAATCATGAACGATGTTCGGTTAAAAACTATAGTTTTTCATAAACTTGAATTGGAAAGTTGTATTAGTGTGTAATATAATGCAATTGTTTTGTGTTTTTTGTCTGTAATTTTGCGAGTTAACATTTTCGTTGGACCAAAACAATTTTATTCATTGCAAATTAACAAACAGCTCGTTTAAATATTTAATAAGTGTAATAAATTTAATATTTATTAAGCGAACCATAAGAACAAATTATTACGAAATATTTTTTTAATAAAACTACTATACATTAAAATCTATTTCTTTTAAGTACACGCTATGTTGATTGTAACTATAGCTAACTATAATGTAACTATATTTAACCAAACTTTGTTGATGAATATTTTTTTTTTTATGTGCAATGTATTCCTCGTTAGGTTCAGAATCCAAAACAAATATTCATTTTATTTGATTGAATATCGTATTAAGGTAACATTCTTAATCGATAGAAACATAGGATTAACTAGACACATTATTTTATTAATATATATATAGGAATAGATTCCTGTATTCCATCAACAAAAAAAAAAAAAAATAAAAATACAATTGAAAAAATTAACCTGTAAAAGAACAAAATATAAGGTTGTAAATAAACGTTTGAATTTAGAATTTTTTTAGTATGTAAAGTTCGTTTATTATAAATTCCGAAGCATAAAGTGGGATCTTTTAGTCTTACTATGATGTATTTTTTTTTTCTTTGTGTGCCTTTAAGAAACTTTTCTACCAGAAAACTTGTTCCGAAGTATCAAGTGTAGCACCTTTTCTGAAAGGTAATTTTATCAAGTCGGTACATTGAAGAAATCATTATTTTTTATTTTCCAAGAGATTTTCGAAATAAATGGGAAAAACCCGAAAGAAAATTATAGGTAAAACTGTAAATACTTATAGTATGCCACTGCGTGGCGTTATCGTTTTCATTATTTTTAATTTATTTACATGATTTTTTTCTACCAGAAATATTACTCCATTCAAAAAATTACAAAAGAAAGGTTTTGTTATATTATTTCATTTGTCATATATTTTTATGTTATATTAATGTTTCGCCATTAAAGTTTTTTGATATTTAAAGAGCTTTTCATAATAATTGGGACAAACCAAAAAAAGAAAACGAAAAATATATTTTTTTTTTTTTTTTAAATTACGGTGCAACGATTTCATTATTTAAAATTTATATTTATAAATATAGCTCAAATAGAAAAATTATAAGAGACCTTTTTTGTTGCATTTTTAATGTAGTTCGTGACCAAGATGGTTGTTTTTTGATTTTCTTCGAAGTGTTTAAATAATTGAGCAAAACCGAAAAATAAGTAGAAATTACGGAACAATTTACCAAAATAATTCTATTGTTAATTTAAATTTTGTTTTTTTTTTAAATATAATTTAGTTTAAAATATTATCGGAGGGTTGAAATGATGACAGAAAACTTATATTTACATTTTCTATTCATAGTCAAATTTTCAAAATATTTGAACTATTTTCGAGGTTTCTATAGACATTTTAATTTTGCAAGTTTTATACGCAATTTTTATTTGGTAGGTAGGTAATCTGTGGATAAAATTAATAGACTAAACTGAAATATTTAAAAATTTAACACGATATTCCTTAAATGTTGTACTTAGTGGTCAAAAAACAAGTTGAATGTAATATAGTATTTTGTTTTTTTATAAGAATTTAATATCAAATTTTGACGAAAATCGTAAATATTATGGCCTTTCAAAACATGTAGGTATAACCAAACTTTGCTCCGAATCGTTTTTCGTTATCAATGGTTTATCGTTGGTAACAGATATAAATGAAATAATTTTATGTATCCCACCTTCCCATCTACCCACCTACGACAGTGGCCGAACTAGTCCCCAGTATCTGCCCTTTTTAAACATTTTTTTTTTAAAAGTTTCATACAATATAAAAAATACCTGATGTAATAATATACTAATCTATTATATATTTTTCATGTCGAAATGAATAAAGTTAAATAAGTGTACAATAATCAGTTTACATACCACAGCCATCACCTTTTATACAAATATTCGTTTTACAATATAATTTGTTTAGTTAAGTCAAGTAATCAAGTTAATACCTTCCTTAGTGGCTTAATCTAATATAATACCATAATTTCATGGAAACCTTTATTGTTTAAACGAATTTTCGCTTATCACTTTTATAATACAATTTTAAAAAATTACATGTGTCGTTTATATTTTGTATAATATGATATATGATAAGTACCCACTGATTATTTTTTAATAATATAATAAATTATTTAAAAAAAAAACCACATACAGCAAAACTCGAAAACGACGCGTGACTTGTATAATTTGTTTTACAGCAGCTGTTAAAAAATAGACATTTACGTATGTTAAGTTGCGTACCTTATAGTTCCTCACGAACACCTACAAAATACATCAATAATTAATAAAAAATTACGGACATACTTCGTACGATGGGTTGGCCACTGTTATAGGTGAGAAGTTGGGAAGGTAGGATGTAATGGGGAATTTAAATATCTGTATATCAATGATTAATATTTCAAAACGAAAAACGATTCTAAGCTGAGTTTGGTCATAATATATACAATTTTAAAATAATAAATTTCAAAAATTTTCCCTTTTTCCCTAGGTTTTTTTCTTATGAAATGCCCTGGAAAAATCAAAAAATGACTTCCTAAAAGTATCACCCCAGTACAATTTTCTTCCAGAAAAAAAGCTACACTAGAAAATTGGAACAAAATTTCTGATAAAAAAGTTGTTCACAGATTATTATTGCAAATAATCGTGAAATTAACAAAAATGTTTACGGTGGAACCGTTACGCTTGGGCACAAACTACAGACTTGATTGACAAATCAAATTTTCACAATAAAAAGATAAGAGATAGAATAATAATATAATATAATATAATAATATTCACTATGCAACGGTGGTTTTATTAATTCGGCATCATTATTTCGAAATTAGTAATTCGAATTTTAAAAACTCAAAATTATTACATCTTAGAACAATAATACAACTTTTTGTTTAGAATATAAAAATAAATCAAAGTTATGAAATACAAGTTCTTATTATTTTTTTTTTTTCCGATGGAAATTCGGTTTCTTAATTATTTACGTACATAACCTAAATAGTTTTGCCCGCATATATCAGTCTTTACAGTCTAGTCGAATTGTATAGGATTAACACAATAATTATTATAATATTTCTATGTTTCCGGTTTTTTCGTTTGATAAAATAATGTACTAAGCTTATTGAATAAACAAAATGGCGCTGTATAATCAAGAAAATACTTACTGCTTATAAGGATGTTGTTTAATTTTTTTTAAATAATTGTAATATTCCAATGCTATGTCAATTTCGTGGTATTATTGTCAATAGTTTCATAATTGTTACATTACCATTATTTTTTGACATTCATATTTTTGATGATGAACCCGTTTGATTTTCAAATAACGGCATCTGTAATAATTCCAAAAATAAATAGATAGTTCAAATAAATTTTGACGTGAAAATGTTTGATTTCTCGCTGATAAGATATTTCACTTTTATGTTTAGGTAGTGGCAAAGTAGTGGAATACCTATCATTCGTGTGGCAGTAAAGCACGTGGTATTTAAGTTATGTAACACCAAAATGTATGTAAACTAATATTCAGTTTATTTATGAAATATTCAGTATAAGTTGAAAACCAAAAGTGGATATTCAGTCCATCCCCAAAAATAAGGATGACAAAAAATAACGGTAACGTAACGTTTTAGAGCTACTTGTTTCTTAAATTCTTTAAAAAAAATTCCTAAAAAAGTTAATACTTTCCACGATATTAAAATTATCATGTTATTTTCGTGGGACACTATGTATAACACATTGAAAATGTTCCATGCAATTTTTATAAAATAAATTAATTATTTTATGAAAATAACATTTTCTACAATTAAAAATGAAAATTAATTAGTACATTAATTAATTAATTCAATTATAAATTATTATAATTCATATACGAATAATAATTAATTTCGATTACGAAAAAAATGATGAATAATTAATAAACAAGGTTCAATTAAAATGAATTAATTAATATATCATGTATTAAGCAAAACTTTATACAGATAGCGGTATCGAATAATATTATTTTTATTTTTGAAAATTAATTTCATACTGACATCAGTAAGCCATGTCCTAGTAATAAGTTTAAAAACGTTTTTTGAACGTGATATTAAGTATACGTATGTAATGTCTGTAGAATATGAAAATATAAAAGAAAAAAAACAGGTGCATTGCGTTATGATTTTAACGATCGGATTGGTTATAGTTTAAAGAATTAAAAACACGCATTGGTTGTTTTTTTTTTTAATTGCAGCCTAATTAATATAACACGGATTGAATTCAAGGCAAAATCTAATTGACTATCGTTCCTGTAATACTGTGTACTTTATTTAATATATTGTGATTATTCTAGGGTTATTTATGATGGTACGTCTGGAGTACGTATGCATGGAAGGGGAGGGGGTTCTGAGGGACGACAAAAGAAGTCTAGCTAAATGAACAACGGTAATAAAACCGTGAAAGTATGTGGGAAAATAATAATACTATACAGTTTAAAGGTAGAACAGGCACATATTATTATACGTAGTTTAATATTATTGTTATAGTTCGTATAAATCTAAATATTCGAGTAGCGGTGTATACCTAACCGAAATTGTATAAAATATTAAAACCACATTGACTAATGTTTCGACAAACATTTTTCTGTAAATTAATAAGTAATTCATCAGTAACTAATACGTATTTATTTTTTTTTGAACGATATTATAATATTATGACGTCATCCTCATATCTATCAATTTATAATTAAATCGATTTGTTGTTCCAACACGTTTCATACTGAAAATCAAAATATCTTAAGTCATCATGATATACTTTTTGTTGAGCAAAAACATATAAAGGGTACAGAAACAAAAATCGGAAAAGTCATTTGTTTTCAATTTGAAAATAGTAAGTAAAACGTTTGGATTAAGTGAAATTTTGAACTTTTAAGATGTAGTTAACATAATTAAATTATTATTTTGTTTGAATCAATTAGTAAAAATTGTATTGACATAAATAAAAAAATCGTTTATACTTGGTGTATTTAAAGTGAGTTTTTAGACCACTAAGTAATTAATTATTAGCAATATTGTCATAAAGCCATTTTAGTAATTTTCAAAATTTAATTCGCTTGTATTGAAAACTATACGAAATTGACCTAAGCCCTTCTTTCCTGGGACCAAATTACCAGCCATTATTCACTATGTATAAATATAATATCAAATAATTTGCAGGGATCATGTGTCAATTGATTTTTAACTTGTAAATATTATGAAATTATCATCGATTTTAATTTTCAAAATACCTACCTATTTGAATATTAACCCGTATAAAATAACAAATACGTTAATACTTTGATAATTTATCGTCTAGACTGAACACAAATATGTAAATAATGCAAAGCTGAACGTAAATATTTTTTAATTTTTATTTAATTTTTAAACCTTATTTATACTTACAAAATATTTATCACCATAAAAAAAAAATCATACACGTTAATGTAATAAATGCACAAACATATTATTGTAAACGTTTGTATTTATTTCATTAAGCTGAGGTTATTTTATGTTATGTATAATACAAATGGGACGGTTTGTACAACCCTTTCTAAAATACAATTTAATAGGTAGACCAAAATTGTGACTACAAAGGACGATGTTCCGCAGTCTCGAACAAAATCTATAAAATACCCAGATCTAAAAATGTTAACAGATGAATACTTACACTGGGGGGCCCTGGTGAAGTTCGATAACACCTTAAAACCAGATTTTCAAATTTCGATTTCTATATGGGCACTAAAAATTTATCTATAGCTGACGATTCTGAGCAAAAAATTAACAACTGAATTCGCTCTCTAGTTGTCAAGGTAGCCGAGAAATCAATACACATTTTTTTAAATCAAATAAAATCAACAAACTACCTCTGCAATCCACCAACTAGATTTCAAAAAAGTAGTTATTGGATTGGATTTCTGATAGAAAAGTTACCCACAAGCACGCACAAAAAAAAATACATATCATAGTACAAAGTAAAATCAATACATTTATCGATTCGCTTAGATTCTAAAACAAATTTAATTTAATTTTAATAACTTATCGATCACAGCAAATCAATTTGCAGGTAAATAATGTTTTGAAAATGTGTTCAAACGGTTTAGGTACGTCTTAAAAATACGTATTTGTGTAACGAAATGGTATACGTATAACATATTTGCTTTCAGATTTTAACAATAATAATTGACTACAATTTCTACAACACGTTACACGGGTCATATAACTCAGTCTCGGTTTACCTACACCGGTAGGTAGTCTAAACAACTCGACTGTTTATATTATACCTGCAATATAAAACTATAAGATCGAAAGCTAATCGAGACAATAAAATATAAGATAAACGTTGCTGATAGATATGATGCGCTAGGTATGTGTAAGTTATTTTTTTTTCCAATTTGTTTGTATTTTCTTTTTTTTTATGAAAAAAAAAAATATTATAATTAACACTAATAAAATTATTGTAAAAAACGTTTACTGCAGTGTGGCAAAACTGTCCGAAGATGTGACGGAGGGTATTTAAACACACCGACAGTCGACCCATAGACATGAACAAAGGTAAGGAGTAAAAACTTTTTTACTGGATAAAAAAGTTAAAGGAAGAGTTTGATTTAACTACTCAGTTTTTAAGGAGAGGAAGTGGACACCCAGTGAATATTTACTAACCAAAAAAATGCCCAATGTGTAAGCAGAAAGTATGTGCGGATTTCTGATATTCTAAACTTCTAAAGTATTCATAAAACTTTGCTCCATCTTCGCCGTGTTCTTTTTGTACACACAAATTAATAACTTATTCATTTAATAAGCGGCCGCGGTATCGAGTTGATACGTAGTTGGTACATACCTATCCAACAATAACGTTTTATTATTATTACAATTTATACGTTTTTTATACAGATGTCGCGGTACCTACGATAAATATTGTATACCTGTATCTAAGTATTGTCACAAAAACAAAATGTGTATATCCGTTTTCAGAATTAAAATTGAACAACCGTCAAACGGCTTAAAATTGTGTAGTTGTAACTTAAATCTATGGTAATTTAAGAGTTTCCTTAAGGTCTGAGGTCATGATGGATTTCCCATAAAATTTCCCTCATTGAATAACATATATAACTCCATATAGTTCGAGATATTGCTAAAATCAATAACATATTATAATAACATTTTATTTTGGGTTTTCCAACAACACCTCTATTTAGGTATTTGAAAACCTGAAATGCAGCAGGGAGGGCAGTGTAACGTATGTTTTTACAGATATACTGACTAAGATACCTACTCGTATTAGTGTTTCTTTTTTACTTAATACCAAACATCGCAATGTTTTATCCCCGAAAATAATCAAAAATTGAATAAAGTTTTATTATACAATTGCTAAGAGTTAGTTAGGTACCTACTTTATTGAAAATATACCTAGTTAACAATTAATGATTAGATATAGTACTAACAATATTATTCCTTTTGTCTTTGGTAGAAAATATAAGGACCAAATTAAATAACATATTATATTGTTCTAAATATTTCCATTATACAAATGAAAAAGTAAAGTAGGTATTGTTTTGGTGAAAATTGCTTATACGCAACCTCTTGAATATCGTACATAACCTTACGTATGACATCATCTAATAAAAAAAAATAATTGTTTTAATAGTTTTTAGAATCTAACATCAAAACCATAGAAGACAATTGTTTTTAAAAATCCAAGGTCGTGATTTCAGTTTTTAAAATAGTCCCCGTAGCTCTCTGTGTTCCGCTTACTTTTTAACTCCTGTATACGAAAATGTAAAATTGAATAATCATACGTAATTTATATTATTCAATTAGCTTTTTATATATATATATATATATATGTACCAGGCAGATGTGATTATGTGATTCGCTGAAGACAGAAAAATAAAAACCAGGTTGGCTGTCGAACCTTTTCATGATTAAATATGGTATTAAATAATAATATCATTATTATGAATTTATAGCGGTGTGTTCTATAATCAGCGAAGATTAGCCGACAGGTTTATTATAATAATATTACGAACAGTGGATTGGATGAATTTTCTCCTCTTATTTAATATAAAACTACCCATCTCCTTTAATTTATGTCTTCGAAATCCAGAGTGCTTTAGTTATTGGCACTTAGATTTTGTTTAATGAGATTGTAAAAACTCGAAATTATTATATTAAAAATAAATGCTTTAATACCTGCTAATAATCAGACTCTGATTTATTTTATTAAAAAAAAAAAAACAGGCATATTTATAAAATAATATTCGAGAAGACTACAGTTTGTTTTTAAACTCTATTTTTTTTTTTTGGTTGTTGGGTAAGCAAGTCGTTATTTTCCATGAAGTTTTATGTTGAGAAAAACCAGAAAAAAACGTAGGCAAAATGGGAATATTCATGACAATAACAGTTTCATTATTTTCGATTATATTTTAATTGGTTAAAAATAATCGTAGACACCTGATAAATTTACACAGAATAATAAATTACGTTAGTATCTTCTAAATGTTTTACTATTTTCAAAACCCTGTAGTGATTCAAACATATTAAACATTTGATACTATTTATCGTTTGATTAGTTTTATATAAATGAGCGAGAAGAAATTTTTTAAAATTAAAAAAAAGCTTTGTAGTTTTTTTTTATGCGCACTTTAAGTTCAAATTTTGACGAATATCGTAAAAATATCACTGAGTTTCAAAATATGTAGCCATGTTAGTGTAACCAAACATCGTTCGAACTTCGAATTTAATTTTTTTAACAATGATTTATCCGTTACGTTCAGATATACATTAAATAACCCTATGTGTATCCTACCTTCTCAATTTCTCATCTATAACAGTGGCATACTCAAAAGCAGTATCAAATCTTTTTTTTTGTACAATCATTCCAAAACAATTAATACTTGTTACCTACGAATCTCACCTCTGACAAGTTTTAATTTAAATCGTACTAAAATCTGTATTTAGTCTAAAAATACTTTTAAAAAAATAGTGGCGTGTTCAGGAATTGTCAATGAGAAAGGTTGTAGGCAGTATATAATAGATCGTTATAATAGGTTATTCTATATATTTAACTTGACAATAAGAATTTAAAATCCAACTTTTATTCAATAAATCAACCTTTTTCTTGTAACTTTATACTACATTACTACAATCCACTATTTCAAGATTAAATTACTTAATTCTTATTCAAAGTTGTGGTATTTTTAAGCCAATGAGAGAAGATACAAACCCGAAACCTTCTCCCCTCAGCGCACGCCACTGTTAAACAGTAGGTATCATTTACAAGGAGAAATCCCTTGAATCGTGCTGGTCCTTATAAGTGATTTCTATATCAATTAAAATACTATTCATCGCCGTTGTCAGTGTTTGCGTCGAATTGTTTAAGCATGAGTACACCTGTAGCTGTTGCGTTACCAATAATATGCCTACTCTCCCACGCACGTCACACTAGACATTCGATTTCGTTTTTTTTTTTCAATTATTAGTCGCGTACACACTTACGCGCGTTTTATTAATAATAAAATAATGGTTCCTAATATACAGGAAATAAATTATACGCGTTATATCATCCGACGAAACTCATTTTGGCCACACGGACGGCTGGTAGGTACATATAGTAAGATTTTACTATGAAAAAAAAAAAAAGTAAAATAAAAAAGTACCAGCATAACATTATTATATATCTATATACTTTTCTGTCTATACCTAATTTATTTTAAAATTGACGCGCGTCATATAAACAAAAATGTCAATCGTCAATAACGCGATAACACAATAAAATATCGTACAAAAATATGTGACAATAAATAATAATAATTATTATTATTATTGTCGAAATCCACTACGTCTATCATTTTTGATTCGTTCTGAACATAATAATAATAATATTATGACGAAACACTATACATCACTTCAGCATTTTACTACATAATATTACTAACGGTTTGATGGTATATGTGTTGTATACAATATAATAGATAATAATATGTCCACTAGGGTGGCTCTTAACCAATTGGTTATTGGTGAAGAAAAAGAAAATTAATTATTTTTGGTTTCTCACCCCTCATTTTATATTATAACAAAAAAATTTAAGTTAAATTTAGCCATGATTACTCACCCATCCACGTGCCACAAGCGGTTGAACAATTGCAAAATAGGTTTGTCGTTTTTTTGAGTATAATCGAAAAACTAATGAACTTATCGTTAAAATGTACATAACTTATATTACCTGTAGGTTTATTTATTTTTAATAAAAATAATATGAATACAAATTTTAAATGATGTGTACCAAAATAACGGTTGACGACGCGACGAAATACCTTACATAAAAATTATAAGAAATTTAATTTTCTAAAAAATAAAGTTAATAATTCTAAATTGCATTGGATTGATTGTTTTATTGTTAGGCTCGAGTAAACATAAGAAAATTAAAAGTAATTAATAATATAACTCCTACCTTCAGCTAGGCTAAGTTAATTGAGTTACTTAACATAATTTTAATAGTTCCATTTAAAATACACGTTTTTGGAATAATACAATGTATTCAAGTTGTTATACAATTGCAATGCATAGAAGTCTTATGCTTAATCTCTCTCGAGTAGATAAAAAATGATATATTATATATATTATAATATCTACTTTATAATATAATTAATTGTATTATTATACCCGGATTAGACTTTTGCGATTGTTCTGAGCACGAGGGGCCGTTAGCTTAGCTATTTAATTGGGACGATACTGACAAAAATAATCAAATAATTTTTGTACATTTCGATACAAAACAGATGTTACACAAATAAAATGTAAAAAAAGAACATTTTATATTTGATTGTCTTATATATTAACCGTTATTTGTATATGTTACGACCAACAGATCTTTTGAATCTTTTTTTCGGATTCCGCTTGCTTTCTTTTCTTTGCTTTGCTTTTCTTTTCTCATGATGCTGTTTGGGTGAGATCGATTGTAAATTAGCCATATAAATCACGGGGTTATATAACTATAATGGTGTACTTGGATATGAATTTTTGTGAGAGGGGTTAATACTTAAAAATCAGGTGACAGTGTTAGTTGGTAGAAAATTATTACCATGTCCCGAAATTTTCGTGTGTGGGATGATGTCACTATGTCACCGTAATACCTCCAAGTACCTATTATATGGTACTATATAATTTTATTTAATACTAACCAATGATGTTACTATTTTATATTATAATATTTAAAATAAATATATTGTTTTTTCCATATGCTTTTTTTTCACTTGCTTTTTATTCTGAACCCCGATTTTTTCATGCCGTACTCGCCTTAAAAATTACAGATTTTCTGCCCGACGACAGTGGTCTTCATTTTTATGATTCTCAGCCAGTATTTCTTAACCAGGTAACATTTCGAACGTTGCCAGACTACTACCCAACACTCCCCTCCCCTACAAAAAAGATTTTGAAATGCCATCCCGGAATAATATGTCTGCAAGAAACACGGTTACCAACAGAGTTTTTCTAAAACAATTTTTAAACAAAGCTGACATCAAAATATAAATAGTTAATAGTTAATAATAATTATGGTTTTTTTTTTTTTTTTAGATTTATAGGTTACCTGATATAGGCTACAATAACAAATAATACGTCCAACGATTTACCGCAAGGTCCTCTGATCAAAATAATATGTTTTTAGGTACATAATTATATATAGGTTGTTGGAAAAATGTAATTATTTATTATTTAATTTGTACGTGAGACAATACTGAATTTTGTTCACACGCGGATAGTAAAATTACGAGTTATTAAAATATTATCATTACACTCGCATAATGAATATATTATACCATAAGTACAGTTAATTATTTTTATGTAATATTATAGTGACGGGCATACATTTTATAAAAACTGTTGGAGGAAATTAACAGAAGTTTTGATGGACATAACGTTTCGTAATTACTGAACCAACGCATAAACTTAAAAATCTTCATAATAATGAAAATAATGATCACGTCGGCTCAT